CGACGAGGCCGAGCACCGCCGACGCGAGCGAGTGGCCCATCAGCGGGACCGTCCCCCGGAAGAGGGGCGCGAAATACTTTGAGGACGCCTGCGAGGACGCGGCGGCGGGGGCGTGGGAGACGGTGACCTTCTCTAGGGGAGGACGGATGGCGGCGGCTGAGCGCACCTCGCCGAGGATCTCCATGATTGGCTTCTCGGTGCCCTGCAGGCGGGGGGGAGGGCGGGGAGGGTTGAGGGCGGGGACGACGTGAGGACGCTGCGACGCGCCACGCTCGCCCGGCCTCGCGGGCGGTGCGGTCGGTGCGGTCGGTGCGGCGGGTGCGGGGGCGCGCACCGTCTGCTTGAGGAAGGCACGCTGTTGCTTCTCCACCATGCGGACAGGGTTGATGAAGGGGGCGGAGAGGATGGAGGCGGCGGTGGCAGCGGCGTAGCCCGGCTCGTCGTTCCCGCTCAGGTACGTGTACCCCAGCAGCACGCCGAACTTCGGGATCCGCTTGAAGAGGACTCCGATCAGGCGCGGCCACAGCCCAGACATTGACGCAGTGAACGGCGCGGCGATGAAGACGGCGTTGGCCTCGGCCGTGGCGACGGCGGGGGCGACGGTCTCGCCCGCGAGGTTCTTCGCGTACTGCTGCACCAGCTGCCGGTACGCCGTCACCGGGTTGTCGCCCACGGTCTGGATGGCGGAGCCGCCGAGGTACGCGGCCATGTTCTGGATCGGGGACACGCCATTCTTGCCAACCTTGTAGGTCTTCTCTTCGAACAGAAAGTCCCACGGCGCCATGGGTGCTGCGACGGAGGCGGGCGGGGGGCGGCGTGAGCCGAGGTGTGCATGGAGGGTGGTGGGGGTCGGTCCTTCGGCTCGCGTGACATTTCGCGCGCCCGCTGGGCTGCAGGGCGCGCGTGTGATCGAGTTCCGCCCCGTGAGCCGGCTCGCCCGGCGCGTGGGGTGGTGGGGGCGCGGTGCGTGAGCGGCGCGGCCGCTCGGTGGCGGACGGGCGCAGGCGAGGGCTGCAGCATCACCTTTGGAATCAGTGGTAGGTGCGCTGGCCAAGGGGAATCGTTGAGATCGAGGAGCGGGGCCACCTCCTTGAGGGATATGGCTGTGAAGAGACGAAGGCGCCAGACAGCCCAGTATAGAAAGAAATTCACCATCGTTCATGCTAGAACACAGAACAGGCAGGTCGGGACGCGGGTGGGATGGGCTGTGGTCAAGGAAAACGCATCCGAACTGGCAATCGCAGGAGCGGGCGGGGCCATCTCCTTGAGTGAGGTGTGAGAGGGCTCTGGTGTGAACGTTGTGTTCCAGTGTGTGACCCTGCCTCCCGCTCCCGAGCAGTGCTCTGGAGCATCGTGCACAAAACCTCGGAGCACTTGGAGCACTTGGAGTGCAGGGGAAACGTTACATATTCGTGGAACATGCTGCGCCGTCGCCATGGCGACGTTGCCACTGCCCGCGGTTGGGCAGCCTGGCCGACCGCGGTCGGCAGCCTCGCTGATTGGCCACAAGCTCTCTGAGCTCACCAAGCTGCAGAACGTCTATGCCCAAAATCGCCTCGTCGAGGTGCATTCCTTCAGCGGCGTGCCTAACGCTGACACCGCCGCAAAGTCTGGCGCAAGGGACGATAAGACATTTTCGGAGACGTGGGACAAGATTGAGGCGCTCCGGCAGCGGCATGATGCAACGTACTCTTCTCGCAAGGATGGGTACGGGCACGGGCACGCAGAGATGCAGACAGTCGCTGGCGGCGCGGCCGCTTCCGACGCATCGCGGCCAGCCAAGTCGACTCAGGCAGAGCCATCCTCGCCGGCCCAATCCTCTCGCAGGACGGGTGTGGCCTCTGTCCTTCTCTCCCCGCCGCCCGCGCACACCTACCCGGCCGCTGTGCAGCAGCGACTGGCCCTCATCCGAGGAGACGCATCGGAGAGGCATCAGCTCGAGGCGCGGGTCGCGCAACACCAGGTCGCTCGGCGACTCGCCAAGGCTCAGAGCCAGCGCGACTACGTGGCTGAGAACCGCGAAGCTGTAAAGGCGATGAGCGCCGCCACCACCTCGCTGGGCGCGGGAAGAAGACGCTCGGCCGAGCGAGCAGCCTCTACCCACGCCTCACACTCCGAGCACCCTGCCTCTGCGCGGGGAGGCGAGCGGCGGGCTCGCGCCGAGCAGCGGCTGGGCGGCAACGAACGACGGCTCGCGAGCTGGAAGGTGCTCGTCGCCCTGGCCAAGTCAGGGCAGGTGTGGTTGGACGCGATCGAACGCTACCGCAGCGTTAAACGTGAGGCTGTGCGCACGCTCGAGGCGCAAGCGAGTGCCTACATATTCCGGCGGCGAGTCCGCCGGCTCGGGGAGGTGCTCGCCTGGTTCAAGCAGCGGCTGAAGCGGTGCAGAGAGCGCATCAAACACCGGGCAGCGGACCGGCTGCGCGAATTCCTCGAGGAGTGCATCGAGCGCGCAAAGGTCGCTCGCGCCATCCGCGAATTTTGCTTCAAGGCGGTGCTAGTGCAGCGCGGTTGGCGGGCGGCGCAGGTGGTGCACGGGGCGCAGCTCGCGGTGCAGATCCGGCAGTTCGACCGGCTGGCGCGGAGCAAGCCATCGGTCGACGCCTTCCTCACCGGCGAGGCCCTCAAGTCGTACAGCTACCGCGTCGGTCCCAAGCTGAAGGTTGGAGTGGAGGCCGCCGCCGGCAAAGGAGGAAAGGCGCGAAAGAAGGGTAAGGGAGCTCTGGCGCCGGCGGTCCTGAACGCCAATGGGGTGTCGATCCAGCGGCTCGCTTTCAGCGATGGTAAGTTCCTCGAGCTCGACTTTGTCGCGCGCGCCGAGGTGCTCAAGGTCAGCCTGCGAGAGCGGCGGAGGGAGCTGCTGCGCCGCGTCGCCGAGTGGGCGGCAGAGAGGGAGCGCCTCATCGTCGAGGAGCTGGAGCCGCACAAGGAGATCGAGGCCGCCCGGCGGATGGTGAACTCAAGCGAATCGAGCCACGTCGAGAGCGCCGAGGACGACGAGAAGTGGCTGCGAGAGCGCCTGCCGCCGTACCCGCGCTTCCAGCTCATCGTTTCGGGGTCATTTCTCGCGCCCCTCGTCGTAGAGGTGATCGAGCGCACCGGCGAGAAAATCGTGCGCGATGAGCCGATCATTCTGGAGTAGTTGGGGTGTATCATGGCGTCACGGCGCACCCGCGCCGCTGAGGAGGAGAACGCAATGGTCACCCCCCCATCGTTTTTGTGTTTTCGGATCTCGAGATCTCACGTCTTTACCACTTCAGTGTTCTCTCCTTTCATCTTTTCTAGATAGTTAGAAGCCTCCAGCTTATGGCAGCTACACGTACGGGCTCTGTGCTACGGGGAGGCCGCCTGCGGCTAGTCTGGCGGGGTCGGGGTTGCAGGACGGGCACAAGCGTCGTCCGGAGCGATGACGCTCGCGCCCGAGAAGAAGAAGTTGCGGCCGTAATAGGGCGCGCCATCCCCTGGTCCGACCCGGTACGTCAGCTCAAAGCTGCTCGAACCGGCCGCATACGTGAAGCACACGAACTTGGGCATCGTGTAGCGCATCGGCTTCCCGCGCAGCCACGGACTAATATCTGTGCTAGAGGGGAAGAGTCCTGCCCCCTCGCTGCCATCCGTGGCGCAGGTCTGTATGTCGACGACTCCATCG